TTTTCCGAGATTAAACTGTCAAACACCAAGCGGTCACCGGTGACCGCAACCTATTGTTCTATAATTGTGTCTACAAAACCGGTACTCGACGAGTTAAGGGAGACCAAATTTATTTTAAATCATGTGATACCTTCTGCCTACCCTACTTCAAATCTCTGTGCACGCCTCTTCACCATTGGGGGGTTGAGTAATGGCAGCCGCCCAAAAATCTAACAAAATATCAGTTTTTAGATGTTTACTCCTGATTGAAGACTCGTCTACCTACTTTACAGCTAGCATAATATTTTGAAGATCATCAAATGAGCGCACAATTTTTTCATATTCATTAGTCGAAGTATAATCCGTCTCGTGTGACCGGATGACGATCTCTTTGTTTAAATTGTTATCTTCATTTGTAGTTAGATCAGTCACTGGTCGGGGGGAGTCGACAGACAAATGTTTTTTGCGTGTTCTAACGACTGTCGCAACTCAATCCGTTACAGGAGCCGCAGTTGACAATCATAGCATTTCATGATAGGGCTCAGTGAAGTATTTTGCGGGTTTTCGACTGAGAGGAAATTGGTCATGAAAATCTGTCTTACGCTGAAGAAGATGCTACCCAATCACACTCTGTGCTGTTTCCGTGGCTTTACAACAAAAAAAATAGGTAAAATAGTTATCATGTTAAGCCTTGAAATAAATATTTATTGCAAAATACTTCTAATAATTAATGTAAAAAAATCATAAGACAGTATGCATTGTGTACGGACATCATCAACAGAATAATAAGAGTAACATAGCACTATTTTCACATCTTTTAACTAATTTAACTCGGTTCGGACTGAGTTTAACATTTATAAGACCCCACACATTTCATTGATTGTTATATTACTGCATAATTTTCCAGAAGAAGAATATATCCTTCTTTTTTCTTTGATGGGACAAGCCCACCACAACCTTCCAAAACCGCTGCAACTCCGGTAAGCTAGAATTTACACTAGATACAATCATGAAAACACCGGAACACTGAAGTCCGGCGCGTCTCAGTCCCAGGGACATGAATTTTATATTTATTTATTAGGTACACAAAACAGAAACACAGCACAATACACAACAGAGTAACAATACAAAACTGTAAATGGCAGACCATGCTTCCACATGTATGTGCACACAACATGACATGCAACGACTAGTATTTATTTATTAACAATTATTTATAATTAACTATAATCCAGAACGAAATTAGAGATAAATTGTAATAATAAAGAGAATTACTAATAATACTTATTTGGAGAAACGGAAGGTTTTGTCTGTGCAATTATGGACGAAGTTATGATGACGAACAATTATCGAAAATATATTATAAAGGATGGAACTGTTGACATTTGTCGGGCATGTCATCATCCCGGGGAATCCATCCGGCATATAATTTCGGGTTGTTCTCACTTAACTAATGGAGAATACTTGCATAGACATAATCTTGTAGCCAGGATTATTCATCAACAACTTGCTTTGAAATATAAACTTGTAGAATCTGAATTGCCGTATTATAAGTATCTGCCTGACCCAGTTCTTGAAAATGGAGATGTCACACTGTATTGGGATCGAACTATCATCACAGACAGGACAATTGTTGCAAACAAACCTGACATTGTGGTGATAGATCGACCAAGCCGTCGCACAATGATAGTTGATATAACAATCCCACATGACGAGAATCTAGTGAAAGCTGAAAAAGATAAAGCAAGTAAATATCTTGATTTAGCTCATGAGATTGTCGACATGTGGGATGTGGATTCAGCAGTCATTGTGCCGATAGTCGTATCTGCCAATGGCCTCATTGCTAAAAGCCTCGACCAACATCTGAGTAGGCTAGCGTTAGATGGTTGGGTCAAGGGCCTGATGCATACATGAAAGCAGTACTTCTGGACACGGCGCGTATTGTTCGGAAATTCCTTTCTCTGGAGCCCTGACCACCGGTAGCTTGGATTTCTCCCGTTACCGGTGGGCTACTGCTTTTTATATTTTTAAATGTTTTTTTTTACATATAATGAAATATTTAAAAATATTTAAATCAAGTATGAAAATAAATAAAGAGAATTAAGAATGCAGTTAGACAATAGATACATTATTCAATATTGTTCTCATTATCGGACCGACCAAATAACAATTTCTTAATAATATTTTTAAATTTGTGAAGCGAAGTATTGTGGATATCAGGCACGCCTATGTCACTCGAGAGTAGCTCGTTGTACTTGCGACACATCCTTATCACAGGATTGTGAGACGATACATTGTTGTTGCACATTGGCAAAGAGAAAAACATCTCGCGTCTAACAGATCTGGTAGGGATCCTGAGGTGAATCTGCGATAATAAGCTCGTGGCAAGAATCTCATTCATAATTTTAAACAAATATACCAAGTCCTGGTAGGACCGCCTAATTCCCAAGTTCGGCAACCCAAAATGAGCAGAACGCTGTGCATACGTCTGAAGTTCCCTTTTTAAGCCATACCTATGAGACATGAAGCGCACAAAACGGCGTTGAGTCGACTCAATCAGGTCAGTATGTACCTTATATTTAGGATTCCAGACTATTGACGCATACTCAAGTCTGCTAAGCACAAAGGACCTGTATAGGGTGATAGCACTGTTTTGATGTCTAAAATCTTTAGACATGCGACATATGAAACCCATAGTTTTCCTACATTTGCTGGAGATATCCGCACAGTGTACGTTAAAAGAAAGTTTGGAGTCGTAAATGACACCCAGGTGTCGTACTTCCGCTAGACGCTGCAAGATGTGGTCATTTGCGGTGTATTCAAAAGTGATTGGTTTTTTTGCACGTGTGAATGTAATAACTGAACATTTATTCACGCTGAGATCCATGCCATTCAGTGCACACCATTCCAGCAAAGTGTTGATATCAGACTGTAACTGGTTACAGTCTGTAACATTGCCAACACGAGAGAAAATTTTCAAATCGTCCGCATTTAACAATGAGTGGTTCAAGAGTTTATGAATCAAGTCGTTAATGTATAATATAAAGAACAGTGGACCGAGGTGAGATCCCTGTGGGGCTCCTGAGGGTATATATACCCTGTCGGAGTTGTAGCTTCCTAGGGTCACAATTTGACTCCGATTCACTATGTACGATTCCAATCACCGCAAAAGGCTACCATGAATCCCCCAACAAGTATCCAACTTACAAAGCAACATTCTGTGATTGACTCGATCAAAGGCCTTCCTAAAGTCAGTATAGACACAGTCTACCTGTACATGATCGTTAAAAGCTTCAGAGATATAGCTCGTATATTCAAGTAGATTGCTGACAGTCGATTTTCCCTTCACAAATCCATGTTGTATAAACGGTTGAATATGATAATACAACTGGTCATACACTAGAGACTCAAACACTTTTGCGAAAGTAGATAATATGCTAATTGGTCTATAATTACTGCAGTCAGAAATGTCTCCAGCCTTATGAATTGGGACTATGTGAGCTAGTTTCCACCTTGCAGGAAATACACCCGATGATAGAGAGGTATTAAATATAATGTGAAGGGGTACCACCAGGGCCTTGGCACAGTCTCGAATGAAACAAGGAGGGATAGCGTCAGGGCCTGCACCCTTATTCCGATCCAAGTTTATCAACTTCCTGTAAATTTTACTCTCAGTTATCGAGACAGTGGACAGAGTTTGGTTAAAAAGTGGTAAGTCACAAGAAATACTCACCGGGCCAGCGCTCTCCTCCACGAAAACTGATGCAAAGTATTTTAAAAACATGTTACTTATTTCACCTCCGTCACTAATAGTTTCATTCCCTAGCTTCATGGTTTTCGATATTGCGCGGCTTTTTCTTTTATGCTTAATGTAAGAGAAAAATAATTTTGTAGTTGTCCCTAGAGATGATTAAATACTGGCTATGTAGTTACGGTAGCAATTTTTTATAAGTTTTTTTGATTGAGCACGTAATACGCAAAATTCGTCATAATCTCGAGGGTTTTTGAACTTTTTATATCTCTTGTGAACGGCGATTTTCTTGACGAGACAAGACTTTAAGTGATGAGTATACCATATTGGATACTTAACACATCCAATACGTTTGGTAGGTACATTCGCCGCAATAACTCTGTCCAAAACGTCGTAGAAGCGATCAATAACTGTCTTGGTTCCCGCAACGAAGTGAATCAGAAGAGGAGAAGAAAAGAAGATAGTTTCCACTTCCCTCGTGTGAATTACTGCAGGAGACAATGAATTACGCTTAAGGGCACAAAAAACCTGTACAACTGAGTGAAGCCCAGTCGCCAAGCACCACGGAAATTTGACTAAAACCTAAGTGGGTCCTATGTGTGAGCTGTTATATTTGCTTCCAGTAATAGGTTTGGCAAACGCGCCTAAACACACGGAAATTTGTTCTAGATTCCACAAGGTCCGTATAATAAGCTACACCTGACGAAACAATTAAATTATTTAACATCACCATTTTTTCTCTGTTATTAAACATAACCTACTAGCTTTTACCCGCGGCTTTGCTCACGTCACAAATGGATAAAAAGTAGCCTATGTGACATATAACAATCCACACAGCGCCATCTATACCAATACTTTTGTGTTCCCTCGGGAATATCAATTTTTTCCGGGATAAAAAGTACCCTATTATTTAATCCGGACTTCTAATTTTACGTCTGTAAAAATTCAAAGCAATCGTTTTAGTAGTTACGGCGTGAAAGCGGAACAAACAAACAAACTCACTTTCCGATTTATAATATTAATAATTATAGTAAGGATGTTCATCAGGGATAATGTGATTCCCAACGGTAAAAGTAATTTTCAAATCGGTCCGTTAGTTTGGGAGCCTATTAAATTCTGACAAACAAAAAACCAAATATCTCCTCTTTATAATATTAGTGTAGATGTAATAGTAGTGTAGATATCAAATACCACCAATCACTACTGTCACTACTGTCACCACTGTCAGTGTCGAACATCCCAATGAGTAATTATTACTAGTTACCCTACTTAGTGCTGGCCCACAATGAAACGTCCCACTTATTATTTACATAATGATCTAATTATATTATGGCACAATCCTCAATTTTGATGTCAATGTTAATCTGCACCTTCAGCGTATTCCGCTGCAGTCACAACCACCGACACCGACGTCTCATTCGGTCTTAGGTTCGAGTGTACTACTCTAAATCGCTCTCTTCCTCTGATTCGTCCTCCTCACTCGATGACGACGATGTTGAAGAAAGCATTGCCACTATTGTTGATTTTGACTCGCTCGAGTGTTCCGCTGTAGACAGCACTGCCTTCGAGGACGTCGTCGCCGCCGCGGGCTCCGTCGTGACATGCTTGGACCGGCTCGGCACTGCTGGCAGCTGTGGCAGCTCCGGCAATCGAGACTGCAGCTGAGGCGAGAACACACAGAACACGGTGCAGTAGACGGCGGCAACCCCATGCAGCCAACCGGAGCGCTCCACCAGTGCGCCCTGCGGCGTGACGCGCAGGCGCGGCGCCGCGTCGTGGTCGCACACCCGCGTCTCGTGGCCCGCCACGTACCCGCGCGCGCACTCCGGGGGCCGCTACAACAGTCATTATAAATTACAAACTAATGGTTTCGGAAGAATTGAAGTCGGTGAAAAGAAGGCCCGGACTATTGGAACGTGGCTGGTTTCCAAAACGGTTTTTATCTTTGTAGTTGTCCGTAACTACTACGAAATCCGGTTTAAGTATATTCAATTTAAATCAAATTCAGCAAGTGCTCTAGGAGCCCATTGGACCAACTAAGATCAGGTGTAAATAGATAAAGGTAATGACTTACTGGGACTATAATATTCCAGTCAGCCACTCCGGGAAATAAATATGTCACAGCCAAGTGATAAGGCACTCCCATTTGTGATCCTGGTGAAGTAAAATGAATTAATTACAATCATAGCGTGGGTAGTGTTTGTGGTGTGGCGGTGGCTCATACACAACGTGACAATCAATGTACCAGGTCCACGCAGGGCGGTACATTGTACATATTTTACAATTACATTTATTTTAACACACACAACATTTTGTATAATATTATTATTTTATTAGATTGACTTGTACTTATACGAACTACGTACCTACTATGTAACACAATTTAAGAATCTGAAATACACGTACTTGTTAGTGTAGTATCATCATGAAACTTGGCAATAATCAGATTTGATGACCATACAATATTATGGCGCAATCGACCTGATCTGATGATGAGACCGGGAGGTGGCTGAGCCTTGGACTGCCAGCTAGTGAACATAATAATTATATCGGGTTTAGCTGATCTTTAATAAACAAAAAAATAGCGTTCTGCTTTGTCACGGGTGCGTTTACAAACATAAAATGTATGCATACTCACAGATACGTCCAGACTCGAAATAACAACTTGTCAATCACAAAAATAGATGTTCCATGCGGAAATCGAATCCACATCACTTTGGGCGCCAGCCTGATGACCAGTCATCGCGGCTACCATAGAGCCATTAGATAGATTATTTTCTCTTGATGACGCAGTAATAACATGACTAAATAAAAGAGTGTTTTAAACTAATACATTTATTTAGTCACATGCATCACTTGTAAATCAGACGTACCTGAGTGAGTGTACGCGCAGGCGTCCTGTCCACGCACGAGCGCTCCCAGCCGCGCCAGCACCAGCAGCGCCGGCAGCGCTGGCAGCCGAGCACTGGCAGACGCAGGCTGCAGCATGGCGGCAGCGCGAATGGCCGCAGTCTTCTACCGCTTCAGTAATATACCGCTGGCTTGCAGTGCCGTCTGCCACGCGCCTTGTTATGCAGCTTCGTGCAACATATCATTATTCATTACCATATGTTATACAATTATCACTGGCATAACAAGTACGCGTTACGAATTTAGCAATAGAGCAATTCACTTGATTTCAACCATTTAATATAGAGCGATAGTTAAATATGTAGGTATGTAGGTTAGCCTTAAAGGCAATTCAATTTGAACATTCTGACGTTGGCGGTAGAGGACATTCTGGCGTTAGCGGTGGAGGACAGTCTGATTTTGGGGGCGGAGGGGCTTCTGATGTGGTCGGTGGAAGACGCTCTGCATCAAGCTCGGCAGTAGGCTTAGATACTGGTGGAGATTCTGATGTCGGCGGTGAGGGCATCACTGGCTGGTCTGAAGATGGCTGCGAGTCCTGCTGAGTACGCGGGTACTGGTCGGGCGCGAGGCGGCGCAGGGTGGCGTGCAGGCGGTCGATGTCCTGCTGCTGCAGCGCCAGCTCACGCTGCAGCTCCTCGAGGGATAATAACAATGCCAGCCACTGCGATTCTTGCGCCAACACCTGCATATAAAATTATTTTGTATTTGATTTTTTATCACGAGAATCTTAAGTTATATTTCCTTTTTATTTTTCCTTAGTTTTATTGTTTTCCTTACATTACTGTAATTGATATACCTATACCTACTATGCTGCTTAGAAATCTTAGTCTCCCAAAACTTTGTAACCGTACCAAGTTAAGAGTAATCAATTTGCAGCAAAATGTCATAGAAGCAGTGGTTTTAACGGGGTATGGATCCGGTGAAAGTTAGTGTTTTCATATCTCGAATCCCTTTGATTCCTAATAACTTCGCATTTCCATTCAAACGGGTCCAATTCCCAGTACAAACGCTAAAGGTTTCAGGTTTGGATTTAACAGTTAGCTGTTTTTCGCACGATCAGCTTGAGGTAGCTTTGTCGCGCGTGAGCGATCCCAGAAACTGATATGCTTTGATTCCAGAAGGCAATACAACTAATGTTGTGTACAGAGAAGCACTGTTGTAATTTCTATCCTTATTAATATCCACTACGGACGCAAGTATTGCAGAAGGTGGGTCGGCAGCAATGAACACTCAGTTATTGGATATAAAGGTGATTGCCACCTTAATCTTTGTGTTGCGGTCACAATCACAATTAATTCCAATATATGTATAAAGGGCGGTATTTATACACAACAACTTGATAGTGTTTCTGATTTCTCTATTTGTACACAATTATTATTTAATAATACTGGAACGGAAATAAATAACATTAAACATTTTCTAAACCGGAGGCTGACAAGCGGAAAACGCCAACATAAAATAAAATGTTTTAAGTGTAAAAAATATAAACAAATGTTAACTCTACTTTAAAATTACTAATTCAGTTATGAGACAATCAATACCCCCTAATACTTACGTAATCATTGGGATAATGCCGGAGCTGATGCTGAGCTAGCCGTGTATGTGAGGCCGGGAGTGTTGATACCAGTAGCTACTGACTTGCATCATCATGCGTGCTGCCAGCCACCAGCACTGAGTGGAGTCGGTGGCATATTATTAACCGAACGAGCTCAACTCAGGAGTAATAAACCTTAGAGATTCCACGAGACCATCCTCAAGAAACTAGTTATTAAATGAAATACCTTATCCTCCTGCTTATTCGCTTGTCGGTTTACTTCGAACATGATAATAAGCCCACCCACGCCGAATATAATCGCTTCACCTGACAAGGAACGACACCACTTATGAATCTGCTCATCTTTGATAAATTAAAGTGACATTGTTGGTAGTTACCGAGGATGCTGGCGCCCGACTCGAGCGCCACGTGGTCGGAGATGGGCGGCAGGTGGCGCGGCTGGCGCAGCGCCAGCGTCCACAGCCGCAGCCGCAGCTGGTAGGCGTGGAACATGCGGCCCGTGCGCGCGCACACGTGGCGCTGGAACCACGGGTGGTTCACCGCCACCACCTGCGCGCGCACCACGTTACTACTTCATTTATTATGTATGCTGTATTTCATCATGTCCGGTGTGATCTCTGTTCGCGATTATGTCGCGATTGGCTAAAGCGATGTAGAAGCACTTTTCAGAAAAGTGCATGTTACACTTGAGAGCCTGCTGTAGGGTATTTAATCGACATCATTATGTACTAGCTTCTGCCAGCGGCTTCACCCGCGTTTCCAGCGGCAGAAAGTAGCCTGTGTTGCAGTCCAGACCGTAATCTAACTCTGTTCCAAATTCCATCCCGGTCCCTTCAGCCGTTTTAATGTGACTAAGTAACAAACATGCACATACACACACAAACTCACATATTATCGCATTTATAATAGCGTTTCAAACAAATTTCAATCATCGACCCTAGAATTACAGCGTAAAGTCCACTGCCGGCAACCTAGCTTTCAAGAAACTTATATTTAGTAGGGTAGCTGCATCTAGGGATGTAGCCACACAGTTAACTTTGTTATATTGTGTGATGGCTACTGGCTAGGATATTAAAATATAATCCTACCAAGTAAGTTTCGTCGTAATCGAACCGGTCGTTTCTGCGTGATGCGTGAACAATATTCATTTTTTTAATATTTTCAATGAATAGAATAAACACTTGTACAGTTTTATTATATGTATAGATAAGGCTACTTCACCTTTCTTCTCTAAGTAACTATCAGGTTTGATTCCTGGTTTGACCCAACAAAGATGAGCTTTTAAAAATAAATTGATGTGATATTTTCGTGAGACACTAGGATACATTTAAAACTAATCTAATATCTCACTACATGTGTCTCAACGACGTAAGCGTGCTGCCCAAAGAGTACAATAAGTATAGGGAAACGAGCTGCCTGCTGCATACTTCATAAAGGACGAATATAACGATGTCAACATTATTATGTATTTACTGTCAGAAAGAGAGAGATGGTTGTCGATATCGTCGGTCGGATTCATTACCGGAACATTTCAAAAATCACGTGTTTTGAGATAAGTATGTAAAATGGTAAGGAATTTAATAATTTATCCAAATCACTAACGGTACAACTCAAATTGTAGTTCTAATTGACAAAAAACTATTTATTCCGTTAAAGAAAATTTGATTTTATTAATATCTTCGTTTTCAGTATCAGACATAAAAAACCTGATAACTCAAAAACTACAAATAAAAACCTAAATCTTTGTAAAGTACAATAAACTTGGCTATAATCTACATATAATTCAATAAATAAAAAAACATAAAATTACCTAAAAGTAAAGTAAAATCACATTTGAATATTTCCAAAAACTTTAAACCTCAGTACCCAAAAACGTATCATTTTGAAATGTTCCATTACTGTTTCTGACCGACGATATGATCGTTCACAGTATCTCACATATTATTACATCAACGTATATAATTGTCTACCTTAATCTTCTTAGCGACGGGCGCACTGAGCTGGCGAGCTAGCAGCGTGGCCAGCCGGAACAACGGGAACCGCCTCATAGCGCGCCGGGCGCGGGCGGCCCTTCACGGGCCTGCGCAACACTGCAGCACCAGCACGAGAGTCGCCAGAGTCTATACTTATTAGACTCTTTGGGGTTAGGCTTGCTCTGTTGTCAGTTGTCACCGTGACAGCCGTCAATTGTAACGAGCACAGTGTATGTATACTTAATAGTAAACTCTTTGGTGTATGTATGTCACACGCACTCATAATTATTTCTTTTGTTGACGCCCTTGCCACGTGACATTCTTAGTGTGTTTTCGTATCGGCATCGCCCATGGACACCTGATACAGCAAAGGCGTTACAAGAGTGTTAACGGCCTTTAGGAGATAAGAAATTTGAGAGTTGTTGAGGATTCAGGGATTGAGTAGATTAGGGAAGGGGGAGGGGGGAGTAATTGCGCCTCTGGTACCCTCACTCACACGACGAAACAACGGTTTTTGTGAGGCCGTAGTATAACTCCGGTAGAGCCGGCCCATTCGTACCAAAGCATGACTCTCCCACATTGAGTGAGTGTGGACACTGAGTGATTGAGTGTGGGGGTCGATCGTGTAAATATTACCATTGGCTCTTGAGCTCATGTTCCGCGAATCTACTGGCGAAAGTATCCTCACATTTATATTTTAACTTACGTTTTTATCATATTTAATTTTCTCATAAATAGGTATATTGATTGATATTTTATTAATGATAAAATAATCAAATTTGTTTGTTTGCCACTAACTATTGCAGATCCAATGCTGGCTCACGGTCACCTCTTCATCGCATGGTTGGGACTTATAACGGTGAGTTCAACGGAATTTACCTACATCCTTTTTTTGGGTAAAAACGTTTACCATCGGGTGAGCCGTGAGCTTCTTGGCCACCGTCGTGAAATAAAAAAAACCTATCAGTACCTAGGTAGTTTTTGCTTTTTAGTTTAATTACTTTTTGTTTGTTATTAGTTTTTGGTTTTTTGAAGTCGGTTTTTAAACACTGTTTTTATTTTATTATTTTATCACTTTTAGTGTAAAGCTACATAGCTCCGTTTGTCACTTATAATCTAGGTACATAGATGCAAAGTTCTCATCAATACAAATTAATCAAGCCCAAACACAAGGTAGTTACTGTATACCATTGAGGAGTTCTCTCGACTGTCTGTCGGCTCCATCATCAGGTCGAATCCAGACCCTTATCAAATTGTAGTATTTAAAAATCCTAATTGAAAAACATAATAGACTCATTACTCGCCCCTACAAAAAAAAGCAATCAGCCGAACATAGTAACTTCTCCTTTTTTTGAAGTCGGTAAAAATGAGATCAAACATTAGTTGAAACTCGCCATAAACTTGTGTCCCGCTGAAAATTTGGCAGATGTTACTTCCGATGTAAAAGTCAATGATGGAAAAGGAAAAACTACTAAGTTACTCGTCAAAATCATCAAATATCAATCGATTAACGCTTGATTTAAATCGAATACTGCTTAATCTTTTTTTATTAGAACCGAAGTTGCCCTCCAGAGACAAAGTTGGCCGATCTTACCGACCGGTACATAACTCTACACTTATTTGTCAAAGGTTTACGGCAAAGAGTTTAATGGAAGATATCTTTGGTTTAAATCATTTCATCATTGTCATTTGATTGTTATCATCAAATGTCTCCACATTTGCTATTTATTTATGTCTAAATATTTTGCGTCAATTTGAAATCCCCACAACTATTGTCAATATTATTTGTGATAGGTACTTATTTATGATATTTGCTGTGTATTATGGCTCTATCATACGTATATACTAAAAAACGAAGTGAATTCGGGCGTCAGCTGCAGTTCACCATAGGGAAGACAGACATGTGTGACAGTATCGGCGTCAACAAAATCGAGCACAAGCTGTACATCCTGCGCAACCCCGTGCACGAGCTCACGCAGCACACGCCGCGCTTCTCGCAGTGCGAGATCAACACCATCCGGTAAGTGACGCTGTGACGCAGCGCCAGCGCCCCGGGAGTGGCGCGGCGCGCACTCACTCGCCGCCTGTTGCAGCGCTGAGTACACCACCAGTGGCGCCAACCATGCCGAAGGTGGGTGGCCCAAAGATGTTAACGTACACGATCCTGAAGCCACGCAGAGGTACCGCCGTAAGATTGAGAAGGACGATAGTTATATTCACTGCATCATGGCACTTTCACCGGTAAGTCAGGTGAAGGCCTTAATGCCACGATTTTCTTAAAAGGTTACGTCCGCACAAGTAGGTAACTTAGTGCATAGAGAGCGTAGTGAGTCACCTAGCGACTAGGTTGTAAATGTGGATACTCGGAGGCCGCACGGAGAGGTGATCCCTTTTTTAAAGAAGCATTGTATTGCCAAGCGCGCAGTGCGGCCTGTCGCGAGCATGCTAGAACGTTCGTTTTACTACTCTGTTCACCAAGCTCTATGTACTAAGACGCCATCCGCCTATATTATATGCGGTCGTAGCCTTAGTACTCAGCGGCTTTACTGTCGATTAACCTTTTACAGGGATTAGAGAAACTAGTTTTACAGAACAATGCAATTGAAATGTACCAAACGTATTACGCAGAGCTAGCGAACATGCCGGCAATAGAGCAAAGCGGTTGCCGCACGGTGAACGTGTACCGCGACAGCGCAGGCGCCGCCAAGGTCGGACGGTCGGGCTCTAAACCCTCTAGTCCTTGCCGGCCAATCAGTTCTATTTGCTGGCTGCCAGACGGCGGATCGCGCTTCGCCGCTACGTACGTGGACGTCGACTTCAATCGTCAAACACACGCTCCCCTTGAAGCATACATTTGGGACGTGGACAACTCAAACAGTCCCGAAACGATAATAACTCCACCGTGTCCAATGTTGGACTTGCAGTACAATCCGAAGGATGCGCACGTGCTAGCGGGTGGCCTGATGAACGGCGGAGTGGCTGCGTGGGACTCGCGGGTCAAGGGAGACAAGCCGACAGCAGCGAGTCCGCCGCACGTGGCGCACCGCGACTTCGTCAGAAATGTCTTGTTCATCAACTCTAAGAGTGGCTTAGAGTTCTTTTCAGGCGGGCCAGACGGTGCCGTCAAGTGGTGGGATATTCGCAAAATTGACGAACCTACCGATGAAATGATCATCGACTTAGTCAAAACTCAAAACGACGTTCAAACCATGGCCAAGTCCAACGGCGTGAGTGTGCTCGAGTACGAATCTACACTACCGACGCGCTTCATGGTCGGCACTGAGAATGGACTTGTCATAAATGGCAACCGCAAGGGAAAGTCTGCAATGGACAAGTTGCCAGCAAAGGTATGTCCACTAAAACATATTCATGATTAATACTTAAGGTTACACTAGTCGATATCTTTTCCATAGAAAGTTCGGGGTGGTATTACTCGACAGTGTGAATGTGTACCTACAAAATTAAACACGATATCGTTTTATCTTGTAAGTACATTTGTCGGTACGGAAACAAAAAAATTAAAAAAGAAACTACTAAAAAGTTATGAGCCAACAAAGTTTTGTTTTTCTTTACAATTTTAACGCAACTTTGGGTGTTAAAAAATACCACTAATCGTGTAAAATCTCCAAACCGAAGACCGTACCGACTCAGCACAATTACCATAAAGTTCTATAAAATTTATTTGAAATTGATCTAAGCAGTGGTTTTTTCAAAAAAC